GGACAAGCCACACAGAAACACAGAGTTTCAAAGCCTGAAGAAACTCCTTTTTACAACAGAACAGATTTGGCATTTTGAGATCCTATTGTAGTTGCTTTTAGTTTCTTGGTAGAGGGGTATTTGCTTATTTACAAAACAGTTGTCATCATGGGTGTGGCACATCCAGAGGTGACAGCTGATGAAAAAGGATGCTGCTGAGATAGCTTCTGCCAACTTATTTAACCTTCAGGATGCTTTTTACCACCACATCTTATTTTGTCATTCTTTTTCTAGATAGGTAGGCACAGTTTCAAAGCATTATGCTATTCACTTTTTTAATTTTTTAAGATTGTTGATGGATTTATGTAAAACTTATTTCGTTTTAATTAAAAATTGCCTAAAAAAAGTATAGTCAGATGAGTCAAGGAGGCTGAAGTATTCATAAATCTTAATGTAGAAATCCCAATCTTTGTAATTCCTACTGATTATCACTGTAAATAAACAAACAGGTATACCTTTGCCTGAAATGTTTACGAATACTAATCTCTTATGACTAGATCACTTCTACCAAAGTTTAGGGATCAAACTTACTAAGTTTTATGTGGCAGGTTTCGGGGAACTATGTATAAGGTTAATTTTTCAGTTTGGGAATCCAAATAGAGGACCTTCCATTTTAGGGGAAAGGATCTCCAACTCTTATAAAATGCACATATGGGTCAGAAATGGTTCTATGAAAGAAACCTGCTATATTTAAGAGAAGGGGGCAGTGTTCATCCTGAAAAGGTATTCTAATTGGGAAAAAGGAGTAGGGAGGGATTCACGTTCCTCCCGCCCCTTGAGGATCAGGGGGAGCTATTTTTATTAAAATGTTATGAATCACATAGCTATCTCTAGGAAAGGAATCTGAAAATTTTAGAAAAGCCATAGGTTTAGGGTGTTATCATAAAATGGTTTAAAGTCTTTTTGTGTTTTTCTCAATTGGTTCCAAAATCATAGAAAGAACTCATAAAAAGTCCAGAAAACCTAAAGCACACAGTGCAATATCAATGCATTTATAATAACAGTTTTAAAAATCTGAATGCCTTCCTAAACAACTAAGGCTTGAAATCATATTTTAATGAAGCTTTGTTACCCTGAACTAAGATGCATTCTATAGGATGCATGCTAATAACCCAACTCAAGCATGAATGACTATTTGCTGTAGGAAGGGTGACAGCTGGTGGCAGCTAAAGTTGGAAAAAGATGCATCAATGTTACTTACACATCCAGTAGGAGTCAAAGTACATCTCCACACTCTATGGGCCTGAATTTTTAAAAGAAACATAAGACCATCCACTCTAAATCTGACTCAAATGGTCCAGCCACCACCTGTATTTCCATCTGGTCTGGATTAAGTTTCAGCTCATTATATCCTATCCAGTCTTTCATAGCAGTAAAATAATGCCCCAAGGTTTTCACTGTCTTCCTATAATCAATTGTAAATGAGAACAAATTCAGTATTTCCAAGGGGAATGGACAAAGATGCTTCAGTACAATGCTCCAATACCTGCAGTACTCCTGAAAGGCCCATTATACAATGGTCAAAGATATAAAAAGTTTATACATCCAGAAAAATAAATACTGTTTCAAACTCCATGTCTGCCTCACAGCTTAAGTTATTTACTACAATAACCAAGGAGTTTCACCTCTGAAACTACAATAAAACAAGGGCCAAATGGAAAAAGTTAGTTGCACCCAACAATTCCTTCTGCTGTTCCACCACAACTAATTTGCAATGCTCTTTGTTTCTGCCATCACTGGGGCATGAGAAAGATACCACCCACTTGCTCTTCTGAGGAACCCTGATTTATTGAACCCCAAGGTGAATTGGAGTACCAGGAGATTATGTGATGAAAGAGATGCCTTAGAGACATTGGTAAAAGGAGCAAATGTGATCAAACACGGGTATACCATGGCAGCAAGGGTGGTGAATCATCAATAATCTTACTGCATCTGCAAGTAAACAAGCCCAGGTTAAATCCCAGCAAGACAGAATTGCTGTTTGTCCAGAAGAATTCTAGCTTAAGGCTATTTCCATTTGTAGCTTTAGATGTGATTGCATATCCTCTGAAGAAAATGGTATACCATGGCTGGTGTGGGTCTTCCGGGCTGTGTGGCCGTGTTCTGGAAGTTTTGTTTCCTAACGTTTCGCCAGCACCTGTGACTGGCATCTTCAGAGTGCAGGAGCACAGACAGGAGCAGTGCACCAGCACAGTTTCAGTAAAAAAGAGGAGAGTCTAAAAATCAACAAAACCTGGCTACCAATCCTGAAAAAT